TTATGTGGGGAAGGTTAGGTAATATCATGATATTCTTTAACTGAGTACTTCATATTTTTCATCAGTACCTGTAAACAGAAAAATGTTGGCTGCCTGTAAAACATATAGCCTGTATCTCATTCACTACCAAACCGATTAATGTGCAGTCTTGTTTTTTGAACAAAATGCATATAACATTTGTTAAATGTTTTCTGACTTTTGTTCTGACTCATAGACATCATTCTGATCTGTAGCCTAAGCTAAGCTCTAGGAAAATATCAGTGAAATCTTGGTTTAGGGCCAGTCTAACTGGGAAACTTAAGTGTAGCATAGTAATGAATTTGCTGTAGAGCAATGCAGTGTCTCCTCTGATTTAAGATGCAGAGGTTCTTAGTGTCAGAGAGGTGTGAGTTTATTACTATTCAGTAAAATGAAAGTATTGGATCTTCACCTGTTGCTTTTGGAGCTGTGTGAGACTAGCAACTGTATTTACCATGCAAATTACTTTATTAATAATACAAATGAATACATATTTTGCTATGTAATATTATTAACAGTTCCTGCTATAACTGTATTTTTCTGTAATACCTGCCTGGATTTGTGCACTCACACAAATGTGTTTTTGGAAGAAGATATTGTTTCATCAAATTCATGCTATTAAGTCTTTTTCAAGAGTTCTAGCAGTATGTTTTTGCCTTGCATAGTTAATACTCCTGTACTAAACATTTGGGATATATTTTATGTTCATTTGACATGTGCCTACATGCACTTTTTTTGAATATAAATTCTGAAAGCATTCTATAGGTTCATAAACAGTTGAATGATTATAGAAGAAACACTACCAAAGGAAAATCTGGCAGGCTGATTATGAGTACCCATCCATATTCAAACTTCTCAGGACCTGTTGGCCAATTCTTAGCAAGTTACATAGTAATGTATCTTAAAGCAATACACTCTTTGAAGCATTCACCTGCATAGTTCTTACTCCATGCGGCACCTGGGCCAAATGTAACTTATCAGTACAAAGCTTTCTGTTGGCTTAAGTGAGCAAAGTTGGTTCAGAATCCTTAGAGACTTGAATAGAATGGATTTTGAACTTCATGTTCTACATTAACAACTTAATTTTTTTAATGCATGGAGCTTGTGCCAATTCATCTTTTAACCCATAACATTTTACTTTATTGTGGATTGCAGGGTGGATTGCTTTTTGGCTTGCAAACATTAGTTTCCCCTCTTTCTTTTTGCTAAGTGTCCAGCATATATTTGAACTACATCAACTGAATCATAAACTTCTTGATATTTAAAATTCAGTGGAAGTATGGAATCTGTGTTCTTACATAGTGGGCCTTACAAAGTTTCACAATGTAATGCTGAAAGAATCTTGGTGTTTATGGTACAAAAGTACATTTCAGTTGCTATGCATTAGCTATATTGTGTCTAACGTTGATTAGTTTCTAAGTTTGTGTCCATCCAAACTAGTTTTTAATAGGTTGCCCATCATTTAACTCTGCTTCATTGTCAACAGATCATTATTAGGCTTTCATTCCCATTGGGATATTATGCAGGAAGAAATGAGGATTGCTTGACATACTATGATTTTCCACTGTGGAATAATTTGCCATTTAAACAACTGCTGATGTGCAGTATAAAGTATCCCCCTTTTTTAATGACTACAACCTGCACTACTACTACTACACGGACAGAGGTTATTGCAGTGAATGAACTGATCCTTGATTTACACTGGAATTAAAGTAGCTTTCTTTTTGAGAAATCTAAAAGGCCCTATTCAAACTGTCTGTCATTGCGGTTCTTGATATGTTCTGGCCTTTGTCAAACATTTGGAATACACATTGTTAAGGTGAATGTTAATAACAAGCTTACTGTACCTTTTCTCCACTGGAATAATTAGGGAGTTTTAATTCCATCTCTTCTCATCTGTCCTCTTATAAGGAGGCAGTGTTACAGAGTTGTAGGAGCAGTAGCTGGCTTTCTGGCATCTTTTTTAAAAAATAAATAAATACCTCAGCATAGCTTTTGTAGTGTTTGCAGAATGGAAAACCAGGAAAGAAGAACTTTATAAATAGTGGAAGTAATTCTAGCTGTAGAGTTTAGTTGAACTGTCTGAAAACTCTGATAACATGTATTTGCAATTCTTTGTTTATGTAACAACTTTGTATAATATGGGGTAGGGAGCAGAAAAGAGTTGGCTATGCTATAAGGTAGATGTCACTCACAACTTTTCTTTTTCACTTTGCCTTGTCAAAGGAAGCAGACTGTTATCATCTGCATCTGGAGTAGTACTTTGGTTGTCTTTAACTGTCAGCGTATTGTATATTAGCATGCAGGTTACAAATCTGGTTTACTATATTATTTCCAGGTCCTTCTGGCTGTGCATGAACTCTGCCTCCCTATCTTCCTGCAAATAAGGGCCTTGGTATGGATGTAAATATTGAGTAATGGTTGTTTGGCAGACAGTGAAGATAAATTAGTAACTCATTTTGTGCACTAGGGCTGTAGTTGCACCAAAACATTTAATTTTGGAGAAGGACAAAGATGTGTGCATCTTAATCAGATGGGGAGAACAGAGTAAGATGGTTCTTTTTATTCCTGCTTGTCTTGTTACTGAATGTAGTGCTTGATAATAGGTGGAAAATCTTTTTTAAGTACTTCCTTTTCTAATAGCAATGCTAATCCTGTCTAGACCAAAAATTGTAGAAGAGAATCCAAACTGAACACTAACCTGCTCCAAGTACCTGATTATAGTATGGCTGAAGAGTTGAAGATTGTGAGAGACAGTCTTCGGGAGAAAGAAGGATGTTTTGCTGGATTATCTTGTTGTCTTTTTATTTTTAGTAGGAGATGAGGGGGTAATTGTTATTGGGGGTTTTTTATGGTGCATTGTTTGGATTTAGGATGGGAAGCTTCTCTTTCCATCCTGACTCTAAAATTATCTTTTCTAAGTCTACAGAGGAATGTGTGGTGTGTATGTGTGCATGTTTTGTGGGGTATATTTCTGAGAGTGGGTGAGAACTAGAGCTTCAACTAGAGGGGGAAATTTCCAACAGCTGTGATGTGAACCAAAGGCTCTGTTAAGTCTTTGCCAGCTCTGCCATTTTCAGAGTGTCTTAAAAATGCTGGGTGGTCTTAGAGATATGGATTGATGGCTCTTTACAATCTTGTTTCATATTGGTTGTCCTGCCTTCTTTATACATGGAGCTGGTTTAGATACTTTAAAAAATGAGGACATGTTAGATGCAAGTACTATTCAGAACAGTACCCAAAGTCAGAGGCTATTTTCTGAAAATGAGGAAAATCTACTCTTCAGCATGAAAACATCACTGTTCTCTGTTTCATATCAGTTCAGAAGCTCTGTATGTCTTTCTCTTCTCATGGTGGGAAACCTTGGAGACATCTTTCTTTACTCCTCAAAATAGCTTTGGCCATTGTCGCATAATGTGCTGACTTGATGAATTCCATCAGCCAAGGCCATCATAGTCATATGTGAACGAAAGGAGAGTGTCTAATATATATATTAGTCATACAGCTGCTACTCCTCTGGAAATCAGCTGGGTTGCAGAACTTCACTGAAAGCTTTACTAATAGACTTGTTGTTCTGACATTATGTAAAGTGGTATTAATATTGTGTGACTTTTCTAAGAGCTAGATAGATTTATAGATAGATAACAGGGAAATGGAAAATGACTTCTCAAAGATAAGAGCACTTGGAACAAAAGATGTGGAAAACGAGGTGTGCTTTTAAAGAAAACAAATCTGAGGAAGGAAATGAAACAACTAGTTGGTAGGTAGGAACATGAAAGAAACAGGGCTGTAAAAGCCACCCCTTGGCCTGCCTTATTTCTCCTCTTCCCTCGGGCCAAAAAAAAAAAAAACAGAGTCACGTGTCTAACGTAGACACTTCCTCTAAATACTTATAGACTCTGATTCATCACAATGCTTTTTCTTTCCTATCAAAAATTCTGAACTTTTTGCTACATAGAGCCCACAAAAATCAGAGTTTTCCTGAACAATTTCTAAAAGAAATATGTTTAACTCACCAGAGGGCTCCAGGCAAATGTAATGAATGGTGCTGGTGAGAAGAGTGTTACAGGAAACCTGATAAAACTTGAGGAGTAGAAATAGTTTAAAATTATTGTACATAAATCAAGCCAAAATACCTTCTCACTAGCCTTGGAAAAGACACAAGTGGTTTTAAAAGATCTTGTTGGTTTTCGTATGTAATCCATGCTAGCAAGTTAACATGTATGGTTTCTGTATTTGAACTTAAGGTGGAAACCATCACAAATATCCATATACTGATTCATAGGTCAATCCAGTAATTCAACGCTCCATGGAGAAAAATTTGGATCTGTCTTTGAAATCTGGTAGGTGAGAAGTCAGGTGCAAAATTTAAGAGCATCGTGGGACTGCCACCGCCCTAGTTCCACCATATTGCTGTTCCATTTCCTTCTTCTGTGGTAGTATCTAAGGCTAGGAGTGAATAAGTGTCGGGTGTTTATCCGCCACAGGTACGGGAGCTGTCGTATACCTCATTTCTAACTCGTAACTGAGTAAACTTGCTTTAACTTTCTCCAAACCCTACAGAGTTGCCAAGTCTGCCCTCCCTCCCTTGATTAATGTTGAACTTTGGCCTATAGCATTCCGTGACCTGCAACCTGGGGAGAGACCCCATAAAGCCTCTGAATGTTGCTGCTTAAAAGCTACTGCAAACTGAGGGCAAATTGCAATCTTTTATTTCTTTTGGTTACCAGGGGTCCTCTTGTAGTCTGTGAATATCCAACTCTCCCCAATCTGTGCATGATACCTGTACACTGCCTTCTTCCTCCTCTTGGTGTCAGATGTCAGGGCTATAATGTATTCCAGGGTCAAGGCAGGACTCTGAGGGCTCCTTAGCCAAGTGCTGCATGCATATTGCTCATTACATTTTTGTCTTGTTCCTCTTGTATTTAGCTTTCTCCTTTTATTATTTGACAATCTTGTTCCTCCTCCTCTTCTCCCTCTAGGCTAACCAGAAGCTGCATCCTTTCCACCATTTTTCTTTGAATGTAGTTCCCTACCCCTTCGGAAAGAGAAGCTTTGCCAGGTCACGGTACGCTGCTATATGCCGAGGGGGGTGGTTTCTTTGTTTTGTTTTGTTCTTTTAAAATTTTCCAGCCAAAACCAAAGATTTCCTAATGATTGTATAACTCAAAACAAACAAACAAACCAAAGACAAAGGGGCGTCTTCAGCAACAATCTTATCTGAGAAACCATTCCTTGTGGTTGTCTAGGAGGTCGGGCAGTCCGCAGTCTGCCTCCCAGTCCTGAATGCCTTGGTCCACAACCTGGGTGAATTTGGTGAATAAGATGACTTTTATCCCATCCTGTCCTAACTTTTTGGGGCAAAGTTCTCTTCGAGCTCTACAAATCCAAAGGGGCAGACAGCCACTGGGAAAGGGAAAGGGATGGGATGCCTTTCACAGATGGATTGTGAAGCTGAAGACATTGGTGCATGATTGGCTGCTCTGCTGGGTGCTTTTTAACCTTTTGGGAGCTGGGTGATATTGATTAATACATGCTGAGGTGCATTTTTGAGCTTTCCCCCCACCACTGCTTGGAAGAGGCTGTCTTATTATGAGAAATCTCTGAAAAAAATTTGTTTCCCCTCTTCTTTTTTTGTTCATTTATTATTTTTGCAGCACCACTGTGCAACTATGCATTGTATTTCTCAACCTTTTGAGCTAGGTAGATGCCTATGACTTTTTAAACTTTGGGGGAGGGGGGTTGCCAATGAAGGAACTTTTTACATGGATGTTTTAAATCTCAGTTGATTTGGGGGTGTTTGGTTCTAGGGTCATACAAGCTCTATCCCAAAGCAAAATCCAAATGTTAATAATATTAGCCTGATGCAGATACCAAAGATAATTTCTTTCCTGCAGAACCTTAGACTTGTGTATTAAGTACAATTACCCAGCACTTGCATTAGTCTAACCTCAGTAATTCCAAAGCTTAGATGTATATTTTGGTATATTTCTGGGATATTAAAAATGTTGTTTAAATTCTTGTTTGTTTCAGTGTAATGCTCTTAAAGTCATAGCATGGAAAAAACTGAATTGTCTTATTCTTAGTAGTTTGAAATAATAGTATTTTTGTATGTTTTGGGTGTGTCTATGTATGTATTAACACAACAGTTTTCACTGCCTAGGTGTTCATAATTGAGAAAAGCTGTACATACTCTGTAATTTCCACCAGATTGTCAGTTTAGATTGCATTTTCTCTGATTGCCATTCCCAACAGGGAAATATGTATCCCTTTTTTTAAAGAGGCAGCATGCTTGTAAGAGTGAACCTGTTGTCCTTGCCCTTCCCAAAAAGCATTATTATCCATTTTCAGAGGTGAGGCAAGAAGCAAAACAACATAATTTAAATATGCCTAATGAAAAATAGGTATGTTCTTAAACTATAAAATTGTGCTCTCTGTTTTTAAGAGTGGCATCATGCTAGCAAAGCAGCAATTTTGGAAACTTTTTCTCCTTTCTCTTGCAACAGTTAATTTGTAAAGTGAATGCTGATTGTGGAACTTCTTTTTTATTGATCATCAAATCACCTACATATTTTGTCAGTTAATTGTGGTTTACACACACACACAAGGTGCATTCCTGCCTAATTTTGAATCTGAGAACTCTAGGGTCCTCTTTTGAAACTTGGTACAGCTTCAAAATGAAGATCAAAAGGATGCTGTCTCTTTAAACATACTTCCTATTTTTCCCTAGTGGCTGCCTGCAGGTGGCTGTGGGCATTGAGAGACTGTGTAGATTACAGTGAATCAGGATGAAAATGATAGATTTTGTGTAGATGCATTTGTCTGCTGTAATTTTTATATATATAAAACTTACTGTAACTGTACAGTTCATTTCTGTTGTAAACATCATTAAACCATTTTTCCAAGTGTTTTAACATGCATGCACTTGTTTGTGGTTTTTAAACAAATGCTGGCCATGTCCAAAAGAAAATGGCAGACCTTGGGATTTTCTGCTACTTTAAGACAAATAATTTGGAGGTGGAGGTTGTTCTTCCTTGTTTTCTGTCAGCCGTCAAGATTCATGTGATTGGAGGCCAAGAAAAGGTAAGCCTCGCTTGTTCTATTATTCTGCATTGGCTTCTTTTCAAAAAGTAAATACTGGATCTCTTGCTCTTTTTTTGTTTTTAATGAACACATATTCCTGCTGCTTTATTACTCTGACTTCTATATTAAATAAAGCGTGTTAAACTCAGTTGTGTTCACATACATATTTCAATGTTTTGATGTGGCATATCTCAAACTGGCCCCCTCCAGCTATCTTGGAAATATGGAAATAGTAATCCAATATGTCCGGGTGGTGCCAGGCTTTAGGCAACTGCTTTGAAGTGTATAGTTAATTGTTGCAACTTTATCCTAATTTTGGAACTAATGTGCCTCCATGTGGTAAATGTAAGGATTTACTTATAGGGATGGGACTTTCTTAATTAACAGACCTCCACCCCCTTAATTCTGCCAGAACTCCCTAGGCCAAACTATGGGAGTAAACATCCCAAAGCAGCAAAAGATAGAACAGCCCCTCCACTTCCAGTCAATTCCCACACTTCTGTCAGAACTCACCCTCCCAGGAACCTTTGCCAGTGTTAGGAAATCCCTCAATTCTCACAGTGTAGCAAGGCACTTTTTTCCCTCACTTATGCTCCCCAGTTATAAATTCTGCAGTGTAACTAGGTGTCATGTGAATAATTTGTTCCTTTTATGAGGAAGTGGTAACAGCGCACAGGTTTACAAAATGTACCCATTTATAGACATAGTAAATCAAACTTAAGAGGTCAGGTCTTTTGCATCACATGGAAAGACTTAACCGGTCACAGTGTATTGACACTTCTAGAAACTAGAGAAAATGTTAGTCTGTACCCTCTCCGCTCACTGCACATCGTCTCCACCCTATAGCTAATCCTCAGTTCCCTTTTAGCTGCCCTTGAGAAAACAGATTGATAGCTTCTCTCAGCTTTTGTTTTCTCTCATAATCCAAATCATTTGTATATAGTTTTCCTTACCTTGTTGTTGACCCCCTTTTTTCCTTTGGCTCTCTCCCAGTCATTTTCATCTGGGAGAAGAAAAAAAGAAAAGGATTCTTGCTTATATTTGTCATTTGTTTATGCCTTTTATGGCTCCGTGTCACATGTACTAAAAAGATCCCCCTCACTGATGCACACTCCAAGTGCCTTTATCACCTGAGTGAGGGGCATCAAACACAGAATTGTCAGATTTGTCATAAGTTATGTAAGATAGCCATTAAAAACAGTTCTACTTAAAATTTTATCTCTGGGAGAAATCCTTACAAGCAGTTGACACTATTGCTAAAGAGACTACATCAGTTTTCACTATCTTCAACTGTAATATGCCTTCCAAGCAGTTTCTTATGGAGGCACTCCAGTCAGACAAAACCTTGACAAAAACCCTTGAGGCATCATCCACTCAATCAGTACAGCCTAGCCAACAAACTCCAACTTCTGATATTGAGGATAGTCCCTCAACATCAAAATCAACATCTAAACCAGTACCCTCCTCTGCACATAAGAGGAAAAAACCCAATGGATTTGGACTCTCAACCCAAAAAGATGACAACTAAGACCAAGAAAACCAAGAGCCACCAGCTTCTAAGGCATCAGCAACCCAACCATCACTCTGATTCTATTTTGACCCTTAAGGAACAGGTGTCCTCTCCTAGGTATGACCTGCTAAAACTTCTCCACCTCCAAACTGAGGAAGCAGTGCAGGTGACACAAAAAACAAGTTTGCTGTTTCGCCAGAAAGGAGACTCTTTTTTTTTTTTTTTTTACTTATATACTGCCCCATAGCGCTACAAGCACTCTCCGGGCGGTTTACAATTTTTTAATTATACAGGCTACACATTGCCCCCCCCCCCAGCAAGCTGGGTACTCATTTTACCGACCTCGGAAGGATAGAAGGCTGAGTCAACCTTGAGCCAGCTACCTGGGATTTGAACCCCAGGTCGTGAGCACAGTTTTAGCTGCAGTACAGCGTTTTAACCACTGCTGCCATAGATCTCAAGGACACTTATTTCCATATTCCCATCCAGTGAGACCACCACCATTTTGTTCTGGTGACAAGCTCTATGAATTCAAAGTACTCTTGGAGTCTTCACGTAGTGTATGACACCAGTCACAGCATACCTCTTTCTCAACCTACAGTTGTAAACTCTTAAGGTACCATGGTACTCTCATGGAAGCATAATATCCAATTGAAAAATGTTTTCTTTTTAATTGCATAAGTTAATTTTTCTTTCAAAGATAATATGGCAATACTGTTCAGTGAGGTATGCTCCACACATACATGGACTGTCCATTACCATTCTTGCAAACATTTCTTGGAGTTATGTTAGGGGATCCCATTTCTACTTAGTGCTGTTACAATAAGCTATTTTAAGGACATTTCTTTAAAAGCCTGATTTTGGTGTCCTTAAACTACTATGACAGCCACAGACTATTGAATAGTGCTAAATAAGTGGTTTAGAACAGTGGTTCTTAACCTTTGCTACTCGGATGTTTTTGAACTGCAACTCCCAGAAACCCCAGCCAGCACAGTTGGTGGTGAAGGCTTCTGGGAGTTGCAGTCCAAAACTCCTGAGTAACCCAAGGTTAAGAACCAGTGGTCTAGAAAGCAATATTTAGAATTAATATCATGGGATCAGTGTCCTAGCTGAAGGCATTCATGTATTACATAGCCGCCCCGAGTAGACATGGTCTAGAGGGGCGGGGTAAAAATCAAATAAATAAATAAAATAAATAAGTTCCCCTTTCTTGTTAAATACTAAGGTTTTGCTGGATTTTATTGTATCTTTCCACCAACTCCTTCTGGTTTATTTCTTACTTCCCAGTATGGCTTAGAAAGGCAGGTCCACCTTATCTGCAGTAAGCCTGGAGATGGAATAATAATACGTAACAAGGATTTTATTTTAAATCCACAGAACATAATATTTCAGTTACTTTAGAGATCCAGAAGTGCATTTCTGAACAGATTTAATCAAGCCAAAGAACAGGCAAATGGCTTCTGGTTTTCATTGCTAGTTCCAAACATACAGTAGTTGGTTTGGTATATTTATACAGAGTACCTACTTCTGGAAGAAGTTTATCTATGAATGGGAAACACCATCCTGATCAGAAAAGTTCTCAAGGGCATTCTAAGGCTAGAAACATCATCTGTGGTGTTTTGTTTTGCTTTTGGTTTTTTTCTTCCTGGTAATGGTGGCTCAAGACTGGTAAGAAAGGTTCCCCCCTTACCTTTATTAGGGGAATAATGAGGGGAAACCTATATAAGGAGGAGAAAAGATGTTTTTAAAACTGATGCATTCCTTTAACTTTTATTAAAACAGCATGACAGCTAAATAATATAAGTATCAAGAAACATGTACAAAACATTTTAACAAGGCCATAATATATTCTTGTAATATATTCATATTCATCATGCATATCCATGATACAGTATATCCAACAAAGACCTAGCAAAGAGATGTACAGAATCATTTGCTGCATGATTTTCGTTCCAGAAATACTCCTCACCAAAACAGTTGTATGGGTTGGGATGAGCATACCACCTATCTACCTATTTTTTTAATTTTTATTAGTTTTTCAATCTATCTACATTGTTTTGTGCTTGTCAAACATCGTGTTACATGCTTTGCTTACAATTATTTGTTTTTTTACATCTCAGTGTCTTCCCGGTTATCCCCCCAAATTCCAAACATCCTTCAAACATTCAAACCATTCATATACAAATTTTAGTATATAATATGACTACTATCATAATATTACTCTCATATTATATAATATTCTCAAGGTCTTCTAATAACATTCTTATTGAAAGTGGTCCCAGATCCATGACCCAGCTTTATATCTAGTTTAGTTTACCTAAAATAAAAAACCACCATATTACATCTTTACCCTGATTAGGGCTCCCTTATTTCAATTTAATTCACCTTTTTAATATACAGAATATACCCTTTTACAGTTCCAGATGTTAAATATATACATGTTTTCAATATTAAGGGGCCCTTCCTTGTTTTCCCTTTTTCCATCTTTCTAGGTAATTCCCTCTCTAATTTTCTCATTTAATATTTCTGTGTCTAAGCATTCTGCCATCTTTCATGTCCTCTGAAACTATTTTGTACATCTGATTTATGTCCACTAACTCTTTATGTACTTGGTCTATCTTCAAT